GAGAAAGAGTTGGTCTATTTCAGCCTAAATTAGGAAGTTGGTTGGGGCCAAGATATGAAAAGCAAGACTGTTGTTCTTTGGTCTTATGAAGAAACTCATTATTCTCTAGGGATTCCCTCAGCTCTTGCTGGAAACAATAAGTTTAATATCATAGCTATCAAGTCCAGCACAGCCTAGAGACCACCACAAAACTCATCCTGTCTCTCTCTTTGACTTCCTACCTAGTAAGGAGTAAGCTTTGCCACTTTGGGATTTCAAATAAAGTCAAGGCACTGAGAAGCTTATCTTGTTCCTGGCTCATAAATGGAACATTGCTATGTTACTGGTGTTGAATTGTTCATTATTTTTCATAGTAGCAATTTTATAACATGAAACCATTGCTGTAACTCATGATAATAATTTTTATAATCCGTAATTATGGATTTCTTTTCTGGCCTGTTTCCCACTTTTTTTGCAGTTAAACTTTGGATGTGAATTCTAATATTCTTATTGGATTTTGCATCCTGTTCTTCATATTATAAATTAACTTTATTGAAAGTAAACCTGACTGTGTATCTTGAATCACTTTCTTTTGACTTCCACTTTAGTTTGTAATTTATTTAGCTCTTTAGAATTTAGAAGTTCTTACATTCAGACAGTGATCTTTTCTATTATTCAGGATATTCTGCATACTTTTATTTGGCTCCTGATCAGGCATTTCAACTCCTTCTTGTTAAATATCTGAATTATATGTGTGTGTGTGTGTGTGTGTATCCTTACATATCTATATATTGATATATATTGATATATCTACACACATATTTCAGCATATAAGAATACATATTTCTATATATTGATATATCTACACACATACACACATATATATATACATACATATATATAGATAGATAGATATATGTATATATCTCTACATCTAACTATCTATTTATCTCTAAATTCTCAATTTAGGGATTATGCCATTATTACATTTTGCACAATTCAGGATCTACTTACTTTGATAAAACTGAGTTGTCTTGATGGAGTTGGTGATGTGGGGTCATGGGAAGATAACACACCAGGGAGGTAGAATAAAATTTGTAATTATAATTGGCTATGTTATATTAAGGAAATATATTTGCCTGTTAGGTCATTTACAAATTGAAGGAAAATGATTTCACTTACTTTAAAATTTTGGTAGGATATGCTATGCTTTCCTAAAGTGAAGGAAAATCAATGAAATAGATTAGCGTGAAGAAGCTGACTTGTTACAATGATGGTATGGGGTTAAAACCTTCCTTCTTGTTATGACTTTTACCTCATGTAGCTTAATGAATTTCTTTGGACCCTATATAGAGTCAACTGAACATCTAGGCTATCTAGTAGAGTTAACCCCAGATCTACAAAACCTGTGGTTCTAGAAAAACATTTACTTTTTTTTTTAAGATTTATTTATTTATTCATATGGAACTGGGGTACAGAGATGTGGAGGGTGAGAGGATTCACCAGAGACAGAGAGGGTAGCAGAACAGGCAGAGTGATGAAGTACACTGCTGAGGGGAGCAGCGGGCGGGTCAGGAGAGGTCTGCTGTGCCATGTGGATCACCTCCAGGGTAGGCGGGATTCGAACTCATGTGGTAGTGGCGTTAGCTTCTTAGTGCTGTGCTTTAACCCGCTGCGCCACCAGGGAGGGCCCGAAAAACATTTACTTTTAAAGGCTAAAACATGAAGTAAACAGCAGTCGTCCAACGGACAATAAATATGATTTGAGTATCCTTTCAGCTGTGTTTACTGGTCATTTGATTATTCTACTGACACAAGCTGTATATATACTATACATAAGTACAAGTAAAGGAACTGACCCAACTAAACCAAAACAAATACTAGAAATATCACTGCAGAGTTGAGGCTGCTAGCTGGAGACAGCGGGTAGGGCTGGGAACAAAGAAAGGAGAATCCAAAAGTCTATAGTTAAAGGACTGTGGGTGCTTTGGGGTGGGTGTGGTGTTGTAGCTTACATAGAGGAGGTGTATGCTGTTCCCCTAGATCACCGAGTGTTGTAAACCAATATTACTGCAATTAAAAAAATAATAAAAGTTAAAATTAGATTAAATTAAAAAGCCCAAATCTTTAGGAATTGTTCTCCTGGAGACATTTTCCCTTTCATTTCAGAAAGAGAAATGCTTGTCAGTTACTGGGTGGGAGGAAGAAATCATCCATGAGCAAGAATAGTACACCCCAAAGGCTTCAAATTTTATTCTTTTCAAAACACTATTTTTTGGGCATTTCTAGTTGAGGGACAGCGTTAGAATAATAAAAGGGCATTAAAATAGCATGGTTAGCCTTCCATTTGCTTATGAGGGTTGGACTAAAATGGTTTAATCCACAAGTTTGGGCCCCAATCATTGCTTTTTAGGGAAAAAAAAATTGCTTTCAGTGATCCACTAGTCAGCTTTTGAATGACTACAAATGTGGACTTGATTTACTTAACGGGAAGTGGCAATCATTAGTTAAAATTAATATGGACAGGACAATTTAGATTTACATACATATTTAATGTAATTACTGTGAACACTCTAACTTATCACCCATTTCTGGGTTCTTGACCTTGAACATGCCCCTTCTAAGGTGGCTGTGGAGAACAGTAGCGTGCCAGTCAGGGCACCTGTGGAATACAGCGGGGTCACGATGACCAGAATGCTGAGCACACTTGCAGAAACAGGATCCGAAAATGGGTCTTGAGCTAACATGACCATTGGCCAGACCTCCTGGCATGAACCTTGACCAAACTCTTTTGGTTCTGGCTAGCCCCATCATCTGGACACAATGAACATCCTTCCTGGTGTGGTTAGAGGTGATTAATGTTTCTCAGAAGAACTCTACAACATATGCTTTAATTTGATAATGTATAACTTACTTACTCACAAGTGCTACCTGCATGGTTTAAAGCCACATACAGTTTTCACAGATGGTTAACAAAAGTTCAAATAAGGTCTATGGTGAAATCTTGAATTTCTGTCACATTTGGAATATTTTCTGTATTGTCTAATGCTGAGAAAATGGGTATGAAAACCCTGGAAAAATAAAGGCTGACACTGAAGCCTGGAGCTCAGTCCCTCACTCAGTCTCTGTGATTCAGTTTTTTCTGCGTCCCAGGTCCACCATCTCTCAGCACGACAGATGGCTGCGATTATGTCCCTGCTTCCTGCTGCTGGGTATTCCCATAACCTGTCTTATTCTGTAGGATATTAACAAGTGTGACACATGCATGGTCAGGAAAATCTCCCCTGCCCCCACACTCCTCTGCTTTGGGCATGTGTTCATGTCTGACCCAACCTTCTGGAATATGCTCTATCACCAACACTCCAAGTTGACTTGTTATATGTGTTTCATTTTTGCCAGTTTGAGTATTTATCTAATTTGGCAAAATACCATTCTGGTTTTTTTAGTTAAAAGATTGTTATCATTGTCTAAGTTGGAATCCTAGCTTCTTATTTTCTAATGTTTCATTATGTTGGACAAGAGTTCGCTGAAGATTTTACCTTATCCAGGTGGAGATAATGGAGTCTGGACTGGGGCAGTGATGAGCAGAGGGAATGATTTTGCATACCTATACAGAGAAGAGAAGAGGAGAGAATTGTTAGTGTTCTATTTCCTGCTCTGATCCCTTGCCTGAGAGCCAAATGGATTCTATTTTATTTAACTTCTGCAAGGGTCTCCAGATCTCATAATATATATTCTCTTTTATGGTGTAAACTAGCTTCAAACATATAACTACTAATAATGAGGTCAAACTTCCTTGCAGTCTCTTGAATACTCAGATGTTGTGGTCTGGTGCCAGAAGTAAACATTAACTAGATGATCCCATTTTGGCCCAGACACAGTTCCTAATTTTATGCCCTTTTCCACCTGAGTTGAAGAGCCTATTTCACTGAAGGTGTGTGAAGGTAGGTCTATTATATATGTATTTTAAATTAAAATAGCACAAGAAAATTGACACTTACTACAAGAAAGTTGAATTGAGTGCTTCATGGAGAAACAGAGCTTGACATTGAGAACAAAAGAGGTTGGGTGTTGTACCTGTGCCTCTGGTCTAGAGAGTTATGAGTTGGTAAGAAAGAATGACAGGAATGGGAGAACTCTGCTTCTAATATCAACAGCTGAAGGCTGTGTGGCTCCAGGCCTGCCAGATGAGTGCTGAAACTCATTGGCTTTTTTCTGCCTGGGGAATAGGATAACTCACTAGATTAACACGGGTGACTTCCAATTGCTCTACTCCTCAACATCCTTCTGAGACTGCCACAGCAAGCCCAATGCATACTTTTATTGTTTCAAAAGTCAAACTCCTGAAGGCAGCCAGCAGCAGCATTTTACTTTTTTCAGCTACATGAAATCAAACTTGGACTCTCTCCCTGAGCTTCTCCTCAGCCCTAATTTCTCACCTGGAACATGTGTTATTTTTCATGTGGGTCTGCAAAGGACTGCTTCCACTCCTGAATTAATTAGACCGTCACATTGGTCTGGGCATTCATGTATGTCTGTATTTTTAGTCATCTTAGAGTAGGTAATGGTTCACTTTTTTGTGTGTTTGTATTTATATAATTTCTGTATTATAAATATTATATATGTGTGTACATATTTTATAGATATGAAAATGTATGTATATGTAGTTTCAAGAGAGCAGGAACAAACATTTGCACCAAAATTGTCCTCAGCATTGTTCTGCAACCTGTAGTGATAAGTAATAATGTTGCTCTGAAGATAATCATTAACAGTGGCATCCATTGCTATAGAATATCTGCTTTGGGGACATTTCTTCTGTAAAATGACTATAATTATGAGATGGAGCATAATCAACATTATTAAGAAGCTGGGGAAAGTTTACTTTGCCTGAATGCTTCTATTTTTTGTTTCTACCATATCATTTAGGAACACTTTCTCTTAACCAATTATTGAAGATTGTCAAAAATTGCTATTTCTATTCCGGAGAACTGTATTTTACAACTGATACTCCGTTCTGAGCCATGGCATTTGGTGAACTCCTGCAACAAGGAGGTGACCGTGGGAGGTATCAGGTTTTGAATTTTGTCCTCTGTATGTTGGTCACTCTCCTAGCATTCCCTAACGAGCTTGTAGACAGTTTTTCAGCAGCCATCCCCGCTCACAGCTGCTATGTCCAGAATCTCGATAACGCCACCTTGGGATCCAGCATCACCAAGAACCTGTCATCCGAGGCCCTTCTGAGGGTCTTCATTCCTATGGGCTCAAACGGAAGCCAGAGCAGTGCCGTAGCTTCCACCAGCCCCACTGGGAGCTGCTCGATGCCAATATGTCAGCGACGAGTAACGTTGAGCTGGTGACAGAGCCCTGCCTGGATGGGTGGGTTTATGACCGGAGTATTTTCACTTCCTCCATTGTTACTGAGGTAGTAGATTAACTAAGCATTGATCTGGGATGTGACTTCATGAGATGGGAGACCCTGTTTCCACTTCATAAAATATTCAAACCTTAATAATAATAAAAAGAACAGAACCCCATGACAGTAATTCCATGGGTTTTAGAATTCACAAATTTTCGTATTTTAAAAGTAATATAATAAGTGTAGCATACATTCTATTGGGGCCTGAGACAACACCTCTTAATCACTTTAATATTTCACCAGAATCATTAAATCAGAAATCGGTGCGCCCTGGTGGCGCAGCGGGTTAAAGTACAGCATTAAGGAGCTAAAGCCACTTCCGCATGAGTTCGATTCCCGCCTGCCCTGGAGGAGTCCACATGGCGTGGCAGACCTCTCCTGACCCGCCCCTGCTCCCCTCAGCAGTGTACTTCATCAGTCGGCCTGTTCTGCTCCTCACTCTGTCTCTGGTCAATCCTCTCACCGCCCCTGCACCTCTGACCTGTACCCCAGTTCTGTGTGCCAAATATATAAATCTTTTTTAAAAAATCAGAAATGTATTACTCTTAGTGTTGGGTGGCATTAGCAATATAATGGTAGTTAAAGTCACAATTGTATTTTGTTGATAAATTAGGTAAAATTTACATGATTTTCAGAGCTCTTTATATTATATAATTGAGAAAACAGTACTGATTTGTAACATTCTTTATCAGAAGAAATTTTTCACCATTCCCCATGAATGAAGAATTTTAAGAAAAATTATGACAATCAACTTTGGATGTTTTTACTTTGTTGATCTGGCTTTCACTTTAATCCTCTATTCTAATTCTGGCTTCTTTTAGCTACTAGGACTACTTCTTAATCGCTATTGTTATGATGATGAAACTTTAATAGAAAGAAAATGTTGAGGATTAATCCTTATTTTTAGTTTTAACAATCCTATAACTTTTTATAAACTGTAGATATTAACAACTAATTGGTTATTGTATATTTAAAATAGACTATTAAGATAGTTATTTCTTTTCTGTTTTAAGTATAGTTTTTAAGATAAAGTTATTTTCATGTGTTTTAAAGAGTCATTTTATTTATTTTTGCAAACAAGAACTGGGATGTAGGCCAGAGCTGAGAAGACTCATCAGGGGAGCAGGACAGGTGGATCCACTGAAACACACTGCTGAGAGGAGCCGCAGGTGAGACAAGAGAGGTCTGCTGTGCTATGCGGGTCTGCTCCCTGGCTGGGGATCAAACCCATGCTGCAGTCTAGATCACTTGTTAGCACTGAAACTTAATCCCTGCACCACCATCAGGGCCCAATGTTAAACTTTTCCTAAAATTTCTATGATGAATTTTCACACATTGTTTTTAAAATATTGTGGTGAAGTGATACATTTAAGTTTCAACTCTTCATATTTCTATTAATTTAGTATTTGTGTATAATTTTGTATTAGCTTTAAAATTTGGTGTTAAATGTGTTATAACACAACGATATTTTAGAAGAAAATGTGTAAAGGACCATTTGACTGACTCATTCTGTGTTTAAGGAACCAAAAGATTCCAGAGAACTGAAACGTAGTTTTTATAAGATCTGTTTCTACTTGTTCTAGGCTTTCTATGTATTTGCTCTCACCTGCCATATCCAACATGGAACCCAGCTTAGGACAGAGAGGGTTGTAAAAGTCTTGTTGGAAATGCACTTTGTCTAAGCAGTTTTCTCTAATATTTCTTTATCTCCAACTCAGCCCATTAGTTTTACTTTAAAAGAAACTTCTTTAAGGAAACCACTTTTAGATTTTCACTGAAGGGCCTTTCTGGTGGCTTAGGGGTCAAGTTCTTAGCACTATTACTGGATTTGATCTGTGGCCAGCGGCTGACCACATGGCACAGCTGAACCTCTCCTGTCTTGCCAGCTGCTCCCCTCAGCAGTATATTTCGGTGGATTCACCTTACTCCCTGCATCTCTGTCCTGTACCCCAGTTCTTATATGAAAATAAAAAATTCTCCACAGAGTCTCCTGCAGGTTATGGGTTATATATTGATTTTTGTTTCACTGAATTTTCCCCCACTGAATTCTTTAGTTTAAAATTTAAAATGTTTGAAAACCCATCTTTGCCTGGTTGCATGAATCAAAAGGTATTTTATCCCAAATTAGATCTTTTTAATATGTTTAGAATACAGAATTAAATCCCATGGCATTAAAGAAGAAAAGTTTGTTACTGACTGAGTGGTTAGGGAAGATTAACCTGTACAATGAAATAAAAGGACAATAATATTATCTTGATAGACTCTTAAATTATTTTTATGTTTTTTTTCTCATTGAGAATTTAATTTTTATTGTGACGTGGTTATTATCTACAGTCTTGACCAACAGTTATTCCCACATTTTAGTATGGTGACGTAGTCTGTATGAAAAAAAATGATTTTTATATTCCTTCTCTACTAGTTAGGTATATTTATCATTTTGTAAGTGATTAAGCTCTGCTATGTTCTATTTACTCTTTTTCAGTGGGACTTAGTATGTGATTTGGAGTCACTCAAACCCTTTTTTCAGTCTATCATCATGGCGGGATTTCTTGTGGGTATTCTTCTCTGTGGTTTCCTTTCTGACAGGTAAGTTTTACTTTCTGAATAGGAACCATCTGTAAAGTTCAGTGTATATCAAAGAACCTGGACCTTTTGCATTGGAATTTATGCATAGGAAAGACAACCTAAACATGCAATGTTCAGAAGTCAAATGCGGGCCGGCATGGTTCAGGGAAATGAGGACTTTTTGAAGACTGGAGTCAATCAAACAAGTTTCCAAAGGGACTGAAACTTATAAAAACAAATGTAGGGAGAGTAAAGTGTTTAGAAGTGGTAAGTAGAAAATGGGGAAAATGTTCATAAAAAGTGATTGTGAGTGGTGAAGTTAAAGAGCTTTAGTTTGAGGAGGTCATGAGATCTGGCACCTCATGATCTGTGTAGATTTGGTAGTGCTAAGATCCAGAACATTGTGAACTGTGGTTTGTGTGTCTGTCCCTTTAACACATGTCCACGGCTCACTTAAAATAGTAAATGCAGAAGATTAGTTGTTGGGTAAATTGCAAAAAATGTTGAGAGGAAAAATACAGAAATAAAGTAATTGCTCAGAGAAATTTTGTAGTCTCTAGAAAGAGAAACTCCCGAAAGACTAGAGAGAGAAGACTGAGAAAAGCTGTAGCGTAAGAGAAAGGTAGATTTAAAAGAAAAGAGGTTAGTATGATCTTGGCAAGGATAAAACTACCCAGTTACTGGATATGAATCACATTAAAACTTGGATGACACCAACTTTAATGGCAAGAGGACAGAAAAATAGAACCCAAGAAAAGTCAAAATAGGCAAACATGCATGTAAATAATAATCTACATGGATCTTGACACTTAAAGAAAACCTTTAAGATTTTAAGATGGACAAAATATCAAGTCCATAAACAATTCAGTGACACCGTATGGTGTTATAATATAAATGCAAAAAGGATGAGATTAGTCATAAGGCGTAGCTGAAAGCCCAGACTCAGCTTTAGACACTTCCAATATGTGATTACTTTCACTTAAAAAATGGAGATAATAAACTTCAGCTATTCATACCTTCCTTACCCTTTATATAAACTGCACAAAAAGGACAGAGACTTGATTAGTAAGAGTTCAGAAATTATACAGCTGCTGTATTTATTAGTAGCAAACATAAAATGAGCATACTAGCAGCTGGAGAAGGGGATCATTCAGAACTGCAGAGGGATCCTTGCCGTGGCATCATGTTTGGGGATTTTGGCAAAGTGGCCTCTCATCGAAGAAGAAAGCCCCCAAATCAGCTCAGACATCTAACTAGTACCTGGTAAATTTTCTGTGAAAGTTCCTGTGAATTCGCTCTTTGGAAATCAACATTTTGTTTCCTAAAAGGATGGAACAGTCTTTCCCTTCTCTCCTACAGTCAACTTCCCTATGTATTTGGGTTGGAAATCACATAAAATAGTAAGTTGAACTTTTGTACCTTGCTCTTAAAAAAATAGACTTTCTATTCTAGATGAAGAATGGTCTTTTAGATACAGACCAACGTGAATTAATTTGTGACATTTAATGCTTTGTCTAAGATTGAATGGAACAGCGTGAGGAGCACTTTCACCTTTGTGTAGAGCACCTTTGTTCTTTTTTTTTTTTAAAGTATTTATTTATTTGTGCATACAGAACTGGAGTAAGGCCAGAGGCTCAGGGGCGGTGAGAGGCTTCACCAGAGACAGAGTGGGGAGCAGAACAGGCAGATCGACGAAGTACAGCCATGTGGTCACCCCCGGGGCAGGCGGGAATCGAACTCATGCAGAAGTGGCTTTCGCTTCTTAGTGCTGTGCCTTAACCCACTGTGCCATCAGGGAGGGCCCGGACCTTTGTTCTTTTATTAATTTACCACTAATTTTTTCTTACACACATATAGTATGAATTTAAAGGGGTAGAGTGATGCATCCACTCCAATATTTAAGTAGAAAGATCTCAGATGAATGGCCATGTCTAGTGTGACCCAACATGAGTCACTGGTCTAGGCACACTTGAAGTCCTGGGGACTCTGAACTTTGGATGTTCTGGAATTTTCTAGTGATATAGAGACAACTTGTTTTTCTTCTTTAACTAAGTTAACTGCTGTTACCTTAGATTTGGACTGAAGCCTTTGTTACTTTTTTGCTGCCTGCCCTGTGGAATCCTGGGCATCGGTTGTGCTTTTGCTCCTTTCTACTCCATTTACTTGTATTTTGAAATTCCTGTTGTCTGTCTGCCTGAGTACAGTTCAAAGCAACATCCTTGCACTTCGTAAGTTCAGCTCTATCTGTACTCATATTTACATTGCATTGCTCAAGGCATTTCTCTTACTTAGTATTAAATATCTTAAAATTTCCTTAGTTTTAGAAGGAACCTCATCAAAATGGCAACCCAAAATCCTAACCGCCGTTGGATTATCTTTGAACACTGGCCAGGCACTAGTTGGCGGACTGGCGTATATTTGCCGAGATTGGCACATTCTACAATTAGTTGTCACTGTGCCCTACATCATTTTTTTCTTCTTCTTCTGGTATGTGGAGATTTTTATATTCTTAAGTCATTTTACTTTATTGGTAATAATATATTAAGCCCAAGCTCATCTTCATACACTTCCATCATCGGATTACTTTCACTTATAAAGTCGAGATAATAAACTTCGGATATTATAACTTTCTCTATTGAAGAATATTTTGTCATTGGTTGTTGCCTGTAAAGTCATTTCTAAGTGTAATAGTGAGGAAAAATATTTCAAACATCTGAAGAAAATAATGTTCTGGGAAGGATCAACTTTTTAATTAATTAATTTGGTGCATTGGTGGCTTAAACTTTTCATGGTAACTTCCCTCCTGCCTCCACCGCCCCAGTTAGTTGCTGAGAATCCTGCAGTTTGACCCTAAATGAGACCCAATAACAAAGTGTTGATTTAAGATGTTTTCTTCTGTGCTTTCTATTTAGGGAGAGAAAACAAACAACAAAACTGGTCCCAAAGCTCTTATTTATATGTCTAGACAACTAAATATTTAATTAAATATTCTCAGATATGATATACTGGGTTACTTAAAGCTGATTAAGTGAAACTTTGATATTTTACAAGTTCCATAGGTATATGAAGGTTTACTCTTAACAATTACAAATCCAGAATTAGAGACATGTATAGAAATAACAACAATTTCTAAAGGAAGATAGTGGAGAAGAAGAAGAAAAACATTTAATTTTTGAGTTGGGGGATATTTATTTCTTAATTTATATATATATATATATATAATAGAGTATATATATAGCTTTTACAGAGTATCATTTAAAAAAGGGGATTGAATAGTTAGTAGAATAGTGATTGAATCCAGGAGTGCTCTTTCTAAATGGAAGGGATTATATCTATTACAAAGATGATTACTTTCCATGACATCTCCCTACAAAAAAAACACATCTGTCCCCTTTCAAACAGTTGGATCTCAGAGTCTGTGCACTGGCTCATTATAACTGGAAAAACAGAACAGGCATTAAAAGAACTCCGCAGAATTGCCTTCATCAATGGAAAAAAAGATGTCGCACAAAGTCTGACAGCTGAGGTAAGGAAAAAGCAATTAGCTTATTGTGGTCACATTCCTCACCACCACCAATGAACTGCAGCTCCCACTTCTGTGTGGCCCCCCAGGCTTGGCTGGAGAATGAGGAGGGATGAAGGCTCAGGCTTAATATCTGGTTTGGGGTAAAAAGAATCCTGCTCTTTGGGGTTTGGTCCTATGGTAGACTGATGGCAGGTAAGAAACATTTTTGGAAATAATGATCTTTTTTGTTAAGTCTAGGTATTTGTTATTTTATTTTATCGTTTTAAGATTTTGACATCTACAATGAAGGAAGAACTGAAAACAGTTAAAAACTGTATCACAATAAAGGAGGTCCTTGCTAACCCTGTGCTATACAGGATGGTGTTTTGCCTGTCCTTTTTACTGTCAGTCATTTGCCTTTCATCTTCTAATATGATTCAGCAGTTCCAAGACTGTGCTAAGCTCCTAGAGGAATGGCTGATATCTTTCCTTTTATTCAAGAGACACTAGCAAATAGGCACTGAGTGAGGGAAATAACAAAGTGAAAAAGCAGATCAGAAGACACCAAGAATCCACCATAGTGAGGAAGAGAGAACTGGCTTGCTGACAAATTGATTAATTCTTTTTATATTAGAACATAGTGTAATCTGAAATTTAAGAGCATAATATTTGGACTTAAATACATAAAAATTTAATTTTGATTTTTGCCAAGGACTGAATGATTACATGAGAAAATGATAAGTACTAAGTGCTTAGGATAGGATCTATATATATAAATAAAACAACTATATTGAAAAAAATGTATGTTTTCTGCATATGAGATATGTTTTATTTCTAGTACAGTTTTGCAAATGAGGAAAATGAAAGCAAGAGAAGTCATATGACTTTCTTTTCTTTTACTTTTAGAAATACAGAACTGGGGTACAGGCCAGAGGTACAGGGCTGGTGAGAGGGTTCACCAGAGACAGATTAGGGAGCAGAGCAGACAGATCAACGAAGTACGCTGCTGAGGGGAGCAGCAGGCGAGACAGGAGAGGTCTGCTGCACCATGTGGGTCACTTATGGGACAGGGATCAAACTTGCACTGAAGCAGCCTCAGCCAGCTTGCAGTGCTGTGTCCTAACCTGTAGCCTCACTAGGGAGGGCCCTCTTATGACATTCTTAAAGACATATGCCTTGTACATATCTATACAGATAAATTGGATATTGCTATGTGTAAGGCAACATAATAAGAACTTAAAATAATGAAGAAAATTTATACTTTAGGAAAAATTTATAAACATGATTAAAAAATTATTACCATAAAAAACTTGTTCTTACAGAATATAACTGTAATATTAATTATAAAGCTATATATCTTCTTAATACCGATATTGCTCACGTGTATCATTATGTTGTACTAATTGTTATTGTCAAAATTGCAAATGAAAAAAAATACCCAGAATACAGAAGACTTATGCTTGTGTGTGATTTTTCAAAATTAAAATGAAATTTATATCAGTATTTGTATTTTCAAGATATGTGAAAATCTAGATATTTGTCTATGAAATGATAAAATAAAGCATCTGTCCTCCTTCTTTTGAGAATAAAATGACCTCAGTCTTTACTGTGGCTCATGAATGCACATGTACAAAATTTAGACTCAGTTACATTGGTAGACCAGATGCATACTGGTTTACTTAACCACTAACTGAATTTATTGATATTTTGTTTTGTCATTCCTCATATATTCAAATATTTCCCACTAATGTTATATCTTAAATTTCATACTTGAAATATATTGATTTTATTTATATGTTTGGAGGAAACGAAGCTCTTAAATGCTTCTACATATTCACACACACTGAAACATCTCAGCACTAAGTTTATTGAATGCTTGACCTGTCTATGAACTTTCTCTTCCAGATTTTCCTCCCTTTGGGGCATGCATGTCTTCCTGCTGGATCTTCAGAATTTGGGGATAGATATGTTTCTGATGCAGTTTCTACTAGGAGTGGTAGATTTTCCCAGCAAATGCCTTACTTTTTTTGTACTAAGACATATCAAGTGTCGCCCTTCGTTAGCTCTTTTCCTCTTTCTGTCTGGAAGCTCCTTAATAGCCAGTGTTTTTGTGACCAAAGGTGAGATTTGTCAATGTTCGGATTCTTCAAAGGATTCTTTAAAAACAAAAATTTCCCTAATATTTTTTTTTTAAGATTTATTTATTTATTCATACAGAACTGGGGTACAGGCCAGAGGCTCAGGGGCGGTGAGAGGCTTCACCAGAGACAGAGTGGGGAGCAGAACAGGCAGATCGACGAAGTACACTGCTGAGGGGAGCAGCGGGCGGGCCAGGAGAGGTCTGGCTCGCCATGTGGTCTCCTCCGGGGCAGGCGGCAGGCGGGAATCGAACTCATGCGGAAGTGGCTTCAGATTCTCAGTGCTGTGCTTTAACCCGCTGCGCCACCAGGGAGGGCCTCCCTAATATTTTTAAGAATAGAATTCAGGCTCAGCTCACACCAAAAAAGCACTGGAGTTTAGTTTCAAAATCTTGGTACCTTCTAGTTCAAATGATATTTGATAGGTGATATGATCTATATTGCATTCCTTGAAGTAGGAACTAGAGAGAGAAAGGTGTTCACTTCTGTCTAACCAGAATTTGTCACGCAATTATACGCGGGTCAATGCCCTGGCCAGGGATCAAACTAGTGGTGAGGGCTGCAGTTATCTTCTCAATGCTGTGCTCCTAAGGAGGGTTCCCTTTCTAGTTCTTTATAGTCAAATTTTTGGAATCTTTTTATTTCATCTGGGTACATTAATAGCTTACAATGGAAAATATTTTGCAAATCTGATGATCCGTCTTTTGTGATTTTTATCTATTTAAAGCAATGTTGGACTCTTTAGTTCTTTTTCATCAATAATTTTTACTTATTTGCATATATAGTAGCATTCCACTTCTATTTTAGGTGAATTTTAGTTGTATCCTGTAGTTCAAAATTTTTATTTTAGATTCTACTCCTGAAATTTTATCAAGTACATGTCATTAATTTTATTCCTCAAAAACATAGTGATATAAAGTCTTAGATAATTTAATATAATTCCACCACTCCAGAGTTCTTTGCTTATTTGCTGTTGTTTTTTGCCTTTTTACTAAACCCCATGATTTAGATATAGCTATGATGATATTCTTTTACCCAATCTGCAGTTGCTTTAGATTTACCTAAATGTTATTTATTCTTTCTTCCTGTCCTTCTTGAATCTTGAAAAAATATCTTTGCTCTTTGGTAATGAAGGTCTATCATTACTAAAGTCTCTAAATTTTGGTTTATGTGAATATAAATCTCTTGTTAGAAGATAATTTGGCAGCATATATAGTTAAAGTGTGTAGTTATAGTCATTATCTTGGTTTTATTTCCAACGTCTTCTGACATCTATTATTCCTTTATCTTTGCTATGTTATCTATGATTAACTTTAAAGTTATCTATGATTAACTTTCCTTAGTCGGAGTTTCTCCTTTTCCCTCTAGTTGATTTAAGAGCTTCTCTTTGTCCTTAATATTTTTAGGCTCTTCACTGTGTCAGCAAGTAATGTAGCACAAGCCTGCCCCCACCATGTTTACATTCTTACTCAACTCTTAGAGTTGGTACCTACCAATTTCCTAAAGGTGGTCACTTTCATAATGTCTAAAGTAGTGATTTAACTGCTACTGTATGAACGGGATTCAAGCATTATTCATTCATTTGCTTAAAGCAGCAGTTTTTTGGCTCTCCCTTGTGGCACAGCAGGTTAAAGCACAGCACTGAGAAGCTAAAGCCACATCCGCATGAGTTCGATCCCCGCCTGCCCCGGAGGTGACCACATGGCGCGGCAGACCTCTCCTGACCCGCCTGCTGCTCCCTTCAGCAGTGTACTTCGTCGATCTGCCTGTTCTGCTCCCCACTCTGTCTCTGGTGAACCTCTCGCCGCCCCTGCATCTCTGGCCTGTACCCCAGTTCTGTATGCATAAATAAATAAATCTTAAAAAAAAAAAATTAAAGTGACAATTGAAAAACTAGGAGTTTAGAATGCAAAACTTTATTATATTTTTTAAGCCATACTTACTATGATTTACTGATATAATCTAATGAAGGTGAACTTTCTGTGTAGTTTCCAGATTTATAAGTAAGAGCTGGAAAAACTTTCTTGTACATATGCTTTGGCATATCTGTCTCAGTTTTGCAAGCCTCTGTCATAAACAGAGGCTCCTGGACCACAGGGAGTTCATGTGTTTGTATCTGTAGGTACCTCGGAAAGAATTTGTACTAATTAGGGTAACATTATCTTTGGAGAATGGGCCAACCCTGACTACTATTGCCAAACCTTGGTATTGCCACTATTAGCTATGCAGGCAAATTTCCCATTTTGATTATACATTTAACTCATATGCATTATGATTAAGTAGCTTTACATATATTGATTGCCAATCCTGATCATTTTCTGAGGCCTCAGGTGACTTCAATCTGTGTTGTCCTTATAAGAAGGTTCTCAACATTTCTTGCTTTTATGTACATTACCTAGCTTCCTTTGTGTTGTTGTGAATAGCGAGCCTAATCTCTGAGGTTCCTACCTCTTAATCTCTTCACCATTTCTTTCAGTTGACTTGATCAATGGAAGCCAGAATCTTGAGCTTGGAGAGCTCAAGTCAAATACTATTGTCTTCTTTCCCTGGGTGTGTTTGTTAAGGATAGTACCTAGCAGACAGCAGTGTGCTTTTTCTGTTACTTTGATTTTCCTAGAACCGACCCTCTGGTTTACAATTTCCACTCTGTTGCCTTTGTTCTGGCCAGTGATAGTCTTATCTCCTCCCATTGTCTTTTCAGTGTATGGGCTGTAGTGTTTGTGAACTCTGGGATTGCTTTTTGCTTTTTTTCTTTTTTTTAGTTCCAATCCTAATAATGTTTTAAATTATACTCCCTATATTGTATTAACTAATATCACTTGGTTTTAACACCTACTTAAGAAAAATTCTACTTCAGATAATTGCCCAATGATAAATTATTAGGAGACATTTGTAAACAAATGAGTGAATAAATCAAATTTGACTAAATCCTAAATTTTGCTCTTAAAATATTGTCTGCAGAGTTGCCCACTTTGCGCCTTATTATTTTTCTCCTGGGGAAATTATCCTTTTCAACCTTCAACATTGTAATTGTCGCCCTCATAAATGAACTCTCACCAACACCACTCAGGTAAGGCAAAACTCTTTAAGTGGTTCAGCCTGATAATATTGACTATGGCTAGAGATTCTAGGACATTTAATTAATTTTTTTTTTTTTTGCATACATAGAACTGGGGTGTATGCTAGAGGAGTAGGGGGAGGGGTGAGAAGATTTACCAGAGACAGAGTGGGAAGCAGAACAGGTGGATCTACTGAAATACACTGCTGAGGGGAGCACAGGTGAGGTCTGCTGTACCATATCTGGGTCAGGGCCCTGGCCGGGATCAAGCTCAGACTGTAGTGGTCATAGTGCTGAAACTAAACTACTAGGCCACAAAGGGGGACTTCTAAGGAATTTAAGTGAGTGAAATAACATTAACTTTAAAAGCTACTTAACAAATTTTCAGAAATAAATATCCAATATTTAAACAATCTTTGGCAGAATTCTTTTTGCTAACAAAATGACTGCAGTTTCTCCCACCCTGCATTCCTAATCACTTAGTGACCTACGTGAGATGGAGATTTCAGACTAGAATCCTACCCTACTTCCCCAGACTTATAACAATAATTTACCTCTCTCTTGTTTCATAATCTCTTTGACATTTCAAAGTGTGCCTGTGCACAAGTTAGAAAAAACAAAACATTTCACTTGCAAATACTTTATTCACATCTGCAAAAGTATAATGATGCACATCAAAGAATGGATAAAAATATGATGGAATGTAATTAGAGTCACATACAGGCATAATCTGCGGGCCCGTATCTAACACGATGACATTTCTATTCAAGACTTCCTCTCAAGCAGAGAAGCTTAAACATTGTGCTTATGCACCAAGCCTATGCTCATCCCACTGCTTTTCACTAGTGCACTCTCAATGTTACTGAAGGAAGATTCTTTCTTCATCAGTTGTATCCTAAAAAAGGAGACTTGTATTTTCGTTGCATAATCTATTGGGAATTTACATTTAAATAGATGTCCTATAGTAATATACATAAAATTTCAACACTGTAAACAGGGATTTCATACTATTTGACTGAAAGGAATTTTTTATCTAGATATTGAGAATTCTGAAGGAAGGTGCATCACAGGATGCAAAATAAAAAAAGCTTTTTCAATTGTTTTTGTCAAATGACAGTTTTCTAATGAAAAACTATAATGCAACCATTGCACATATATCTTCTAATGTGATATCCAAAAGAATCCCTACTATAAATGAATATATTTAATGTTCTTTATTTTATAAATGAGAAAACTGAAACTCACCGAGCTTGAGGTTGAGGAAACTGGTCAAGAACATAATCCCTCAAGAATAAAGCAATGACTGTATCCCCTGTTAATTCTTTCCCATAAATACTATGTCTTTTACTTTCTTAGTGTTTTTTTTCCCCACAGATAATATATAGATGCTGGGAATTTTAGTAACTTCTCTGTAAACAAATAAAACCATAGTACTTTTCCTGATTTAGGGGAATAAAGTCCTCTAAACTATATAAAAAAGTTTCTTAAAGATTTATCTCACATGAATGAAGGATCATGAAGTGACAATTGACAATTATAAGTTCTCTTCAAAGGCCTTAGGTTACTTGGTGACAATAGTAGAGAATTTCATGGTGGTTAACAAAAATGTGGCATTAATAAGAAAATTAAGCTAAAGAACTTCAGAAAATTATTCTAATTAAACTGCAGTTTTATATTTACTGTCTTTCCATAAGTAAAGTAAGTATTTTTCCATATTTTCCGTCATGTCCCTGAAATTCTGTCAGCTTTGAATTAGTGTGTTTTTTCCATTTTATAGAAAACAGAAAAACTTAGATAGGCTGGATATTCTGTGTAAAACAATAAACAAAAACCTTCAAAGTCCTTGAGGTGTGGTTGAGAAAATAATGGTTCTGTCTAAAACAAAAACAATGCATTATACAGTGTCTGTTAGGCAGTGGTCTGAGTCATCAGAGTAATGAAATTCAGGGAAGAAATAGCCTGTGTTGAACCTGGATGGTCTCAGTAGTCTCTGCCTACTTGAAATGGTGCAGATGGGCTTGAACTCGAAAGAATAGAAACCACAAGTTCAAAGTTTTGAAGAAATGTCTTCTTTCTTTGAAGGGCAACTCTAACTGGTATTTATGGATCTGTTGTCCGTCTAGCTGCAGTTTTGGTTGCTCTGGCCCTTCTAACTAGAAGGTATTTCATACATCTACCCATGATTCTCTACGGGTCTGTTCCCTTTACAGCCCTAATAGGCATCTACCATCTGCCTGAGACCTCTAGCCTTCCACTTCCAGATATCATCACAGACTTGGAGAAGAGGTAAGCTCATTTGTAGACCTTTTGTTTGAAGCTAGTTTGTATAGTTACAGGATGACTTAGCAGAGCGTGGAAGACAATTATACATTCTAACTTCACAAAATGAATCCATAGAATACTCTGGTAATTTAAGAAATGTTTCTGTGTGGTTCTATTTGTGGATGTTTTATGAGATATATATCTGCAATTTAAATTTGCAACTAGATATATGTTATGTAACATGTATATGTAAGTGAAATACTCTATATGACACATGAGGAAACTAAAGGTTAGTGAGAGTGAGTAATTTATTTATAACTAAAGAAACTGTGAGTGGATCATACTGAAGCTTAAATCATTTGACTTCAAATATTATATTCTTTATAACTCTTACTAATAAGTGTGAATGTCATATTGCATGTACTTATATTACATGTTAGATTGCAATTACTATAATAATATTTCCATAACATTTATTATATATGGCTTAATAGGTTAATAATTGAAAAAGGGATGTATTATTTTTATATATCACTAAGTTTATATATAAGAAAATCATATGTGCAATAAATGTAAGGACATGAATACAGACCCGATAAAATCCTCATTTTGTTTGGCTATCACAAGCAAAATCCCAAGTTGTTCCTTAATATAAAAATCATTCTCTATATACTCTGTGTATATAGTGTGTCACTATCATCTCAAATTATTCATCTATTTAAAATATATATATATATTTTAGGGCCTCCCTAGTGGCTCAGAGTTAAAATCTCAGCACTATCAAGCTATCACCAGCCACTGCAGCGTGAGTTTGATCCCTGGCCAGGAAGTTGACCCACATGGCGTAGCAGACCTTGCCAGTCTCAGCCACTGTTCCCCTCAGCAGTATAGTTTATCAATCTGTTCTACGCCCTACTCTGTCTCTGGTGAATCCGCTCACCACTTGTACTTGTGATCTATACTCCAGGTTTTGTATCCACAAATACATAAAAATAAATCTTTAAAAAATCCATATTATTTCAGCTCTGCTTGCTTAGAGCACTGACATAAGATGGGTGTATTTTGTTCTAGTATATGGTCTCACTTATTGTATTTTAGAGGATATTAGTCACTTTGGATGGTATAAACACACTATTGGAAAGTAACTTAATTTTGTTAAAATTATAGAGAACATCCTTTAGAATGTGCTATTACGAAGAAGCTGATGTCACCAGTGTCACCTGAGGGAAACGCTGAGGCAAAGGGAAACATTTGGGCAGGGAGAGCTTGCGGCCAGACAGATGCTTCCCGTCAGAGTTCCAACTTTCAATCACACTTTTCATGTAAAGATGGAGCTAATGTTTTTGGTCCAATACTCTCTTCTCTTATAGGTCCCAACTGAGTAGAAATAGTAACTTTAGGGTATTCAGAAAATGAGCACAGAATTAGAAGTAAAAGAACTCATGGACTTAATGGTATGTCCACTTTTCAGGAACGGTGTGGCTGAGCAAATCACAGGAAATGTCATGGTCTCATTTTGATTACAGTTACCAGAAAAGGCTAATTTGGTGCTACTTCCTCAGGAAGAGACTGAGGAGACCAAATGTATGTGTTAGAGTTGTATAAACTATAGTGTAGGACCACTCTAGCCAAGTTTGTTGAGTTTTCTTGGATCCATTGTGGCCACACATGTATGTACCTTTTGCTTCTTTTCATGAATAGGTTAAAGAAGAAGAGCACCAGAAAAGAAAAGGCAAAGACCTCTTGGAAACCAGTGAGACTAAGGAGACCATAGATATGCATGAAATGGAAGAACCAGACACACCTTCCCATAATGCCAAATAACATACACTCCAGTCTGGGTCTTTAATGTTCATATATCTGTTAAGTAAGAGATGCCAAAATACACACATTAGCAAAAAATCGTATTATAATTTGATTTTTGTATTGTAGTTTGAAATTTATGGCATTATCAAATACTGGAGGTCAGGTTCTTCATCAAAAAAGGCAAACAAAGTAATGTAATAAAAGTTTGTCTTAAAGTTTGTCTTAAAGTTAGATCCTTAACAAATGGTAAGTTGAAGACAAAGTGTTTAAGAAATATTTTGATTCATAGTCTGTGGTTGTTATCAGAGATGTATATTTTGAGTTGAGGGTAATCATAAGAAAGTTTTTGAATATGATCATTGTGATGATGAGGGGCTGCTGTTGTAACAGAGGCATCTGTTACATAAAAAAGGAGAGGTTACGGGTCCTCCCTGGTGGTACAGTGGGGTAAAGCACAGCACTAAGAAGCTAAAGCCACTTCAGCATGAGTTCGATTCCTGTCTGCCCCGGAGGTGACCACATGGCGTGGCAGACCTCTCCTGACCCGCCCGCTGCTCCCCTCAGCAGTGTACTTCGTCAGTTGGCCTGTTCTGCTCCCTGCTCTGTCTCTGGTGAATCCTTTCAGCACCCCTACACCTCTGGCCTGTACCCCAGTTCTGTATGTATAAATAAATAAATCTTTAAAAAAAGGAGGGTTCCATGCTCCCTACCCAACAACTGAGGGCAGCATTGGACAGCAGGGGGATCTTGGAAACAGAGGAGAGACATTTGGAGAAAATGAGAGAGGGACACAAGGCGAAGGCCTGCCTGCTTCTTGCTTTGGACTTCACATGGACGTGGGGGACACGGAGGAGACACTGGAGTCGAGACATGGAGAGACACTTGAAAGCGACAAGTGGGTGAGAGACACATGGGGAGGCTGACAATGGCCGCCTTTACCTTGTCTTGTGCTTTGACTTTGCTCCTGTCGTCCCAGACTTGCCTCGTCTTTTCTTCTCCTCTTATGGTTCCCCACCAGAAAGTGCCTTAGACTTGTGGCAACATTTCAGGTCTCAGCAGCCGCAATTAAGGCCAACCCTGTTTGCCTGGACTACACTGTGGGGGGGGGGGGCATGGGGGGATGGGTAGCTTCGCGTGTTTCACTGGGGAATCATCCTCTCTGTGTGCACATCAATTCTATTAAAGACCTTTCACACTAAGAGTATGTTTTGTCTTTCTAAGGCAGTTGGCAGAATCTCTTTAAAGTATGCAAGTTTGGGGATTCTGGGGTCCCCTTGGTCTACCTGCTAATACAAAAGTTTAGACTGAGAATGTGAAGTTGCATCCAATGATGGGAAAAGAATTATGAACAAAGATTGATATTAGAAGATCATTCAGATTTAGGTTTGAATTAAGTCTACACTAATGACTCTGAATGCGCTGTTGTCTTGAATCCTTAATTGCCCCTGTCATCATACTTCGCTGTGTTTTTCGAGTTTCCTGTGTGAATTTCGAGTTTTTAGCACTGGCTTTTGAGGCTCCTGTTTACCAGTCTGCTATTATCCCAGGGGATTGTAGTGAAGTGGAACATTGTGAGACATTGTTCAAAGTCCCCTTTGCCCAACATTCTACCAGACCCACTGAGGCATGGTGTACCATTTACTTTGCTGGTTCACTTCTTCTGTTTTATTTGGACAAGTCAAGTAGTTAATAATCATTAATGTAGAGAAATCCAATGAGTCCCTCCATGTTTCCATTTTCTAACTTTATTTTCTTGGGCAAGTTTCCTCAGAAACCTCAGTTTTCTCCACTGAGAAATGAGAGCGACTGAGAGAAGGGCAGCAGTACAGTGGATAGTTGTGGTAAGTCTGAGCCAGGTGTGAGGGCCGGAGCCCACATCATGGGGACCCTCAGATCCACTCCATATGGGGCATTTGGTCAGTGTGCATAAAATGGCTTTTAACCCCCCTCTTTTTTTTTTAAGATTTATTTATTTATGCACACAGAACTGGGGTACAGGCCAGAGTGCAGGGGTGGTGAAACGTTTCACCAGAGACAGCGTGGGGAGCAGAACAGGGAGATTGGCGAAGTACACTGCTGAGGGGAGCAGCGGGCAGGTCAGGAGGGGTCTGCCGTGCCATGTGGTCACCTCCGGGGCTGGGGATCGAATTCGCACTGAAGCAGCTGCTGCCAGCTTGCAGTGCTGCATCCAAACCCGTTGCACCACCAGGGAGGGCCGCCCCCCTCCTCTTTTTAGCAGCAAAGAAGAAACACCTTTCAGCTATAGAATGTCATAATGCAATGTTATTTGGATTATAAGTAATACTTAACAAAATTGAAAGGTTAAAGAAATGTAAAAAGGGAAAGATGCTTTCAGGCTGGCCCTGTGGTCATCATGGTCATCATGGTCATGGGGTGACCCTCCCAAGGCATCATTTTGTTCATTGTCATTTCATTTTAACATTGAGGAAAAAAGAATCCTGACTGACACTGAACCAAATGCTATCTAAGGATTGAATTTTGTTATATATTGTTAGCTAAAAGTTGAAGTTTCTAAGAAACTATCAAGTTGTTGAGTGTCTGTTGGCCTCCTTCCACTGAGATCTTTTTTCTCTTCTCTTGTTTTCTAATTTCCAACCACTAGGCTTTTCAACTTCCCTTGGAAAATTCAAATACACTCATCACCCCAGAGTTTTCAGTGAATACTTAGCTTTTCCTATATTGAAACATCAACATTTAACATACATGAATTCTTCCTATCCTCAGTTTAAAGTTTAAAAGTCATTTTCTTAAAGAATCTAAACTCTACCCTAAGAGGTCAGCCAATACAATTTTACCTATGGCCACTCAAACACTCCCTAGTACTTAAATGAAACTCCTTTGTAAAATGAACTGTCCTTTCATGTGTCCATCAAAGAGGGTCAAATCAGGGGAGAGAAACCATACCAGTTAGGGACCAGAAATAATTTAATATAAAATATATATGGCTGGGGGGGTGTCACGAGCAAGACACTTGAGTGTTTTGTAGGAAGTAATTGTAGAAAACAGATTGCGTTGATATGTCTTGGAAAACAAAGAGGAGAGTTTGTCTTAAAATTTAGGAGCTGCGCCCTCCCAGAAGCTAAAGCCACTTCAGCCTGAGTTCCATCCCAGAGGCAATCCACAAGGCGCGGCAGACCTCTCCTGACCCGCCCGCTGCTCCCCTCAGCAGTGTACTTTGTCGATCTGCCTGTTCTGTT